GTGATGAAAAATATTATATTCTGTGATTAACATGACCAGTAGATATCTTACTGAGCTGGCCTATATGCCAACATGTATGTGTCTTTCGCAGCTTCAAACACTGTTCACCTCCCAACACTACTCTCGTGAAACAGTAACTACACTCATAGGAATCTCCTGTCTGAATGTAAAAAAAAGGAAATGGATGCTATTTAATTGGAAACTTGTTAAAAACATTACCAATTGTACTCCCGCAGCAGGAACTTGTCTCTAATCATAATAAGATAGCGCCAAAAATACTTTAAGATGAAAATTTTCAGGTAAAATGTGGAGTCGAAAGGAGTCAATTGGGTTCTTTAGGATGTTTGAAGTAATACTATAATAGCATGGATTTTTGTCTCAATTCTTAATTGACTGCTTGTTTGATTACCAAAATGAATAATTCAACAACACCAGGCGTACTACAGAGATGCAGCGATGCATGACAAGAGAAAAGTCACACGGAAGAAAACAGGATAATTTAATCAAGAAATCATTCTGTTCTCCTGACGGAAGATGAAGAATTATGCAAAGACCTACTTTAACTTCATATCTCATCCTTAAAGTGGCAAAAATTTCTCCAAAATTGTAGGTAAAATTTATGTTTTCATCATACAGACCAGAAACAATCACCCCAAAATGGGTGCAAGGCACTCTGGGAAGATGGTAATATCCTCCTTTGGGTGTGGAAAGGCTCCCCGAAAAACATGGTTATTGGAAAATTTTGGCTCAATTTTAAAATTTTGGAATTGTTTGAGATGGGTCTCAAAGTCTTGTTTTCTGGTGATTTTTCATCTTACAGTCTCGAACTTTTTAGGCGTCAGTCTGAAATTTCGAAACCAGTGTCATGCAGTCTCACAAAGTCATGAATTTACCGTTCTATACCCCTTATAATTATTGAGTTAGACATGCAGAAGCACAATGTGTGAACTGGGCCTAGGTACTTATATGATCCACTATACATTATCTGCATTTTACCTAAAAATACATGTAGTTCTTCCAAGTGCAAAATATCCAAGGCATCTTACTGTAGGTTCATCTACAAAAGGCAGACCAAAAGTGCTCATTCATTTAAGGGCTTATATTATTGAGGAGCAGCATGATAGAAAGAGGAGAACAGCAATCCGTTCTTGTTTGACAAACATGACTGGGTTATTACTTGATTGATTGGTTGCAATCATTCATTCCAGTAATTTCAGGACATTTTTTGTCCTCTTTTTTTTTCTTCAGGATTTTGTTTCAATAAAAAGTGTCTGTATGACTTTAAGAACATGACCCCCTTAATACGGACACCTTGTTAGTACAGGCACTTTCTATGACCCCATCAGTGTCCATATTCGGGGTGCAAAGAAAGTCAGTTTTACAGCCTGCCATTCGGGCAAGCTGTAGTTAGCATGCACTAGCCCACACGTGATTTCAGCTTACCCCAAAACCCTTTTTGATTAGCAGGATTGATTACAATCCTTCTGTAATTTCAATTGTCAAAAAAAGCACTTGCCCATCGGGCAACGTAAGAAGAAAAATCACTAGCCCGATAGCAAATTCCACTTTCTTTGCACGCTGGTATTACTGGGGTTTGAGTGTATGTCTAAGTCTTAGATACAATATACTTGTTCTTTTAATGGTCGCAATTCAAGGAATATTATTATTAGAATATGCCACCTACCAGTGGCAGTGAGCTCATCGTTTTCCTCCTGCTCCATTGTCAGGACTGGTCGGCGACCTGAACCCGTTTTGTCGGCCAGTGTGATCCACACTCTTTGTACTTTTTCAATATTTTTGACACAGTTTGGCATCTACTCTGAATGCCCTCACAACAAAGGTCACGAACTATGGCATTGATACTCTTAGCCAAGGACAAAAGTGAAATAATTCTTACAAAATGTAGTTTGATGTAAATTGGTGTTCTTCCTATAATAATTGCAGATGCAAGATTGAATGATTTTCGGAATCTCTTATGGTTAACAGTCTATTATTATGCAAAATTGTTTCATGACTCTTTTAACAATTTTTTGATTGGCGTGAATTACAACAAAAGCTAATATAACAGTCTGTAATTGGTTACTTTCGATCTGAGGGGTGAGTATAGGAACCTGCTCCATTTTATTCGTTAATTCTAACAGATTTTATCTGACAGAAATTTTGCTAACAGCATTCAAACTTGCTCTTACTCAACGTGTCTCTACGTGCAGCTCTTAAGGTGCCCAAGTAGGGATTGTTCTATTTTAAGTTAGATCGTACAATTAGTGTTGTTCAACTGAGTAAAATTGTTAAAGTGATTAGTGGCAACAATTTCATACAGCGTGCAAAGAAAGTGGTGTCTGATAGCCCGGGGCTAGTGGATTTTGCTATCAAGCTAGTGAATTCTGTTTTTAACTTTCTCGATGGGCAAGTGATGTTTTTTGAGGAATTGGAATAACTGAAGAACTATGAAATCAATTCTGCTAGTCAAAAAGTTTTTGGGGCTAGTTGAAATGACATCTGGGCTAGTAAAAATTTAGTGCTAGCTTCAGCTTGCCAGAATGGCAAGCTGTAAAAATGATTTCCTTTGCACCCTGTTCATATCAATTTTTTTTGTTGTTAAACTCAGGCTAGCGCTCTGATTTTCAAAAAATAATTTTGCCATGTACACACGGGAAGCGAAAACGTAAGAAAGAGTAAGCAACCCCTATTGCAACGAAGGAACAAAGACATTCATTCATCATCGCGTTATACAGTGTAGTAATATTTTACTTGCCAGAATCAAGCGAGCATTAACCCATTCGCCCCTGAACCGCCCGTAACCGCCCGTGCGGATCCAGGTCCTTTCTACCCATTGTGACGTCATCAGTTTCAACGGTCAAGGACAACTTTCTTCACTAACTTGTGCAGAGTGAAGAGATCTTTCAAACCATACCAGAATGAGCACAATTCAGTCAAGGACACCAGAGAAACAAGCAAAAAACCACGTGACATTGACCTGAAAATCTCCATGAAAATCTTGTCCCATTACCCACCTACCTTTCCTTTCGCCTAATCCTAAGATCCTAAAAGCTTTCCTAAAAACTCTTCCCACCAAAATCAAGCCTACTAAATGCCCAGCAAGAGAAAAAAAAAATGAGGCAAGAAAAGCAAAAAAAGAAGGGAGGAGAGAAAGCGAAAAGTAAAAGTCAAGACTGCTGTGTCACTTTTAAACCCAAAAACTATGTCGAAATTTTGCTTTCTGCGCATGCCCGAACTTCGCAAGCTGATATTTTGCATCTGGATCGGAAGACCGCGAAGTGTTCGACCTGTAAACCAGTTTGTGGTAAGTTTTAGCTCTTTATAGCACGACAGTGACCAGAAAACCACTCGACTAGCTTCAAAACGCGTTTTTCGGCAAAATCTCTAGGAGCGAATGGGTTAAGCAAAGGACCAAGCTTTTTGAAAAAAATCCACTTTTCAGCATAAAACAACCAAATCTGTCTATTTCATGTCAAATCAGGTGAAAAAGTTGGTAAAAGGCCATTTTTAGGTTTTTTGATTAACCCATTCGCCCCTGAACCGCCCGTAACCGCCCGTGCGGATCCAGGTCCTTTCTACCCATTGTGACGTCATCAGTTTTAACGGTCAAGGACAACTTTCTTCACTAACTTGTGCAGAGTGAAGAGATCTTTCAAACCATACCAGAATGAGCACAATTCAGTCAAGGACACCGGAGAAACAAGCAAAAAACCACGTGACATTGACCTGAAAATCTCCATGAAAATCTTGTCCCATTACCCACCTACCTTTCCTTTCGCCTAATCCTAAGATCCTAAAAGCTTTCCTAAAAACTCTTCCCACCAAAATCAAGCCTACTAAATGCCCAGCAAGAGAAAAAAAAAATGAGGCAAGAAAAGCAAAAAAAGAAGGGAGGAGAGAAAGCGAAAAGTAAAAGTCAAGACTGCTGTGTCACTTTTAAACCCAAAAACTATGTCGAAATTTTGCTTTCTGCGCATGCCCGAACTTCGCAAGCTGATATTTTGCATCTGGATCGGAAGACCGCGAAGTGTTCGACCTGTAAACCAGTTTGTGGTAAGTTTTAGCTCTTTATAGCACGACAGTGACTAGAAAACCACTCGACTAGCTTCAAAACGCGTTTTTCGGCAAAATCTCTAGGAGCGAATGGGTTAAGCGTAAACATACAATTGATATTCTCATATGTCAATTTCTTTAATGCCGATTTTGTTGCTGTTTAATAAAATGTAGGCTCTCATCTTCAAGTCTCTAAAAAATGGCTGGTGGTCTTCTGGCGTATGAATGCATAATAAGTGGAACCCACGTCGCCGAATTTATCTCGATTTATGTCCTTCATGCGCTTAATTAACAAGGGATTATTGAGCTACCTCAAACCTAAGAATTTGTTTTGTTCATCATAACAATGCCACACAGAGCAAAGCTGTTACAGTACATAACAGAAGAAAAATCTTTCCCTGCCCGACGCATTCGTCTGACGCATGTACGTCCATGTGTCTGTGTTGCGTCTGCATTGTTCGCTTAATTCTGGCCTGCACTTTAGTTTAAAAACTTTGCCTGCTAATTCACAGGTATGCCACTGTAAATAAAAGAATATAAAGATAAAAGTAGATTAGACAAAATAAAAGCTATTTACAATTGAAATTAAGTTATCACACACAATAATTATTATGAAAAATTATTTACAAAATTGATTTAAAAGACGATTTGTAGATACTATAAATTAATATTGATTCATTTGCTACATGCATACCAGTCCCCTAAATGTTTTAACTAATCGGACAGCACTCTTATGATAATATTGATACTTTTCAGCTTTCTCATCTTCCTTTTCTCTCACGCATCCCGTCTTTGGAATTGCCACATCTTTTATTAGACATCTCTTATCTCTGCTTTTAATGATTATTATTATTGTTGTTGTTGTTGTTGTTGTTGTTGTTATTATTATTATTATTATTATTATTATTGTTATTAATTATTAATTAATTATTATTAATTTGTTTGCTTTATTATCTGTAGGTGTAGGAGCTCTGAAGTTTCTCCAGGATCCTCCACAACTCCAGGCATCTCATGTTGGCTGGAGTGTTGACTACAATTGCACAACAGATGACCCAAATGCTACAGTGTCACTTCTACAGTCTAAGGATTATGGGTTTTCTTATAATGTGTTTCCAGTCACACCAAACAAACTTCTTTTGAGGGAACAAGTGTTCAGCATAGTAAACCTTGTTCTTTCGGATGGCGCATACTATAAATGCAAGGCAACGGACCAGTCAGGTCAAACTATTGAATGGGACAGTGGTTCAATGTTATTTGTACAAGCAGGTCTGTAAGAATATTTGGAGTAAATAGGCACTCATGTAAATCATGTAGTTAAAACCCCCAGGGGGGTACTCCCTGTAATGGTTTATGCAGAGAGGCTCCACCTGAAAAGGGTACCTTTTTCAAAAATTAATAATTTTTTAATTTGCTATGGTGGCGATTTACATTCTCTACATAACAGTTAAAATTTATAAATTGTATCTATGGTAGGTAAACCTGATAAAAAGAAAAAAATGCTAACAAAAATACATAAATAAATGACAATAAAATAAATAATATTTAAAACTACCTAAAAGCTAATCTAAAAAGACAGGATCTGAAGTTGTGACCAGCTGGTCGCCAATGCAACTGAAAATTTACATTTGTTGTAGTGTTGGTGATATAGGGTTTTTTTTTTTTGAAAAATTCTGAACTTTTAAAGGCTCAGGAAATTATAATTAATTTGGACAGAACATGCATGTATGTGAAATTAGTTTCAAAATGGTGGCATTTTTCTGATAAAATGTGGTTTTTACATGTACATACAATAATCTTTTAATGCTTTTCAGCCAGCAAATTAACTGGTAACTGATGTAAATTAGTGGTATTTTACAAGTGCTCGAGGATATGCAAACTAAAAAAGATTAGCTTTTCCTTTTATTTGTTGCTTTTGTTGATGTTGAATCATGTCAAGGAAAGTATTTTTCTTTGCAACAGACGTGAGTAATTTTTTTAATTCAAAAGTGATAAATTATATGTCAACTTGCAACTTATCAAATTACATAAAGAGCAAATTAAATATTTGGCTTTGACTTTTGAATGATCAAAATAAGAATTCGCAACATCCGCTGAAACCATTCAGAATTCCGGCAAGACTCTTGTCTTTCATGAACAAGGCTTTCCCAATCCGAGGCTCTTGCTCTGTGGCAAAAGTCTCTCAAGTTATTTGTAAATCTGAGGCCATTTCCATAGACAAGTAGAAGGTGATTTCATGTGAAAAAGTGAACCACTGGCTCCTATTGAAAACCCTGTTTAAGCAGACCCTTAACCAAGGGAATATCAAACATAAGCCCATACATGTAAACTGTTCTTGTTATACAATGTCAAGTGAAAATTAAAAGATACTTCTAGATTATAAATCAGAACGTAACGTAACAAAACATAGCCTAAATAGAGCAGGCATTTTACTGTTTTAAGAAGAAAAGCTGCATCACGTTAGCCTGTGCCAATCAACATCAGCCTCCACTAGTAAACTATACTCCTACAACACGTCAATAGGAAATCCGAAATTCAATGTTTCGGACGCCCGTGGATGGCTTTATTCCCGACTTTTTAAGGGCTCAAAACATGGTTCGAGTTATCGAGGGTAAAATTATATAGAACATAACTTGAGGGGAAACGAAAATTGGTTCGAGTTAGCGGGAGTTCGAGTTACCGAGGGTTCAAGTTACCGAGGGTAAAATTACAGTGAATGTATGACGGAAATCCGGGGGGAATCGATTTTGGTTCGAGTTAGCGCGAGGTTCGAGTTAGCGAGGGTTCGAGTTATCGGGAGTCGACTGTATCTCCCAGATGCTAAGTGACATTCTGATGAGTGTCCCAAGCTCCCTTCATCCTAGTTGACAGGGAGGGCGTGACACTATTTCCATGAAAATGCATTTACCTTCCCATTTGCCCAATGTGTACTTCACTGCATTCACAAGGAATCTTATATGCTACTCCATCTTGTTAACCTTTTGCAAGTACATTGTATAGCTGTTAACACAACATAAATAACTTCAGACCTGATTTGAGTAACCCTGTTATATTTTCAGACTTTTTGTTAAACTCTTGAATAAGCAGTGACAATTTTGCAGAGACTATGGTACACTGTATGTATTAAAGCCAGCATGTAAAGTACTGCACATATTTTTTGCAGCTCAGTTACCCAGGCATTTTGTGTTTATACCAAACCAATCAATCTATGTGCTGCAAGGGCAGAGTGGAGAAGTCACATGTGAAGCTGAGGGCCCTTCAGTTTCTACCCTGAAGTGGGAAAAACAACAGGATGATAAAAAATCATATGCCGCCATCCCCAACAGCCAAGTTAACATCACTAAAGATCCAAACTATGTGAGAGCAACCCTAAAGATTACAAATGCACAGTTTACAGACACTGGTACATACAAATGCACAGTATCAGTTCCACCAAATCTATCAGATTATAAGCTGACAAAGATAGAAGTCAAGGGTATGTTTGTACTGTATTTCATTGTAAAGGTTACTTTTACTGTTAGTATCTCATCATTTCTGCAGTACATGGCCCAGCAGCCAGCATATTAGACTCACAATACGGTTTAACCCCAGTTCATGTCCTGCTCTGACTTGCTGAATTTGTTTTGGTCTTCCCAACATCAATTCCTTGGCCACGCTTGTTATTATCCAGCTGGTTGCTTCCTGCCAGTTGGGGTTTTCAATTCTGTTATGTTCTATCTAAGTTAAGAGTGGAGTGCCTGTAAACTAGCTGGACTTCCACTGTGAAAGCAAACCAAAAAAACAGTATTAACTGCCCATCAACAATGTACATGCACAGTATATCACTTATGCAATGGACAAAAACTGGTGAATGCCCATATGATGGTCTGATGATGACTGAGTTCTGGCATTTGATGTGGATGACAGTTCTGCTCCGTACAAAACAATAGTAATATTTTGTCAGACAAATTATTTGTTATTGTGTAGGCTACAGTTGATTGTCACTGAGTATTAATCTATGTAAAATCTGTTTCATTCACACATTTAGGTCCTTCAGCACCTAAAATTAGTCCCTACAAAGAGCAAACAGAAATACTAGAGGGAGCCACCAAGGCTATTAGGTGTGAAGCAGAGGGATTTCCAAAGCCAACGGTAGATTGGTACAGAAATGGCGAGAAAATGAATGTCACAAACTGCCTTACAGAATCTCAGAGTTGTGATCAAGTTGTGTATGAGGTTTATGAAGAAGGAGATGGTTCTTCTGGACTTCATACTATTTACACAGTTCAAGTTCTCAAAATAAGAAGTGCACTATATCCAAGAGATGTTGTTTGGTGATTTTAAGTGTGTTGCATCAAATGGAGCTTCACCAGATGCTGAGTTGATTGTCAGCTTGGATGTTCAAGGTACTTAAGCAAAGGAATACCTTTATACTGTGTGTAACCAGTAATTTGCATAATTATACATGTGCAATTTTTTTACCCCATTTACAAATGATTTGGTCAGAGCCAACATTTACAGCCTTAGTTTCATTGTACAGCTGTACCAATTTATTGTGATCATATGTAAGTAATTTTAAATGTTAAAGACATCTTTGATGCACAACTCATTGGGAGCACCTGTGAACTATTCAATCAAATTAGGCCAGAATTGATATTAATCCTTCTCTGTACATAACTGCTCTCTTTTGAACGTTTTGAAACATTGTTACAAAATGTACCTTCCTATGCATTAATTTTTTTACCCAAATTTTTCATCCAGGAGTGAAACCTGGTGAAAGCATAGAAAAAAATTGTAAGCACTTATGTTACTTGACACTGTAGCACTCACAGTGTAGAGTACAAACTTAAATTCTGAGTGCAAACCTGTGTTCTAAGTTGAGAAAGGTAAGGAACTAATTTGGTGGGGGTGGGGGTGTGAGAGGCTTATTTGCAGGGGGGTGCTTATTACCTTACAGTTAAAATGTAATAAACATTGTCTTCCTTTCAAACAAACACATTTGTACAGCTGTAAACAGAGCACAAACACATATCTCTAAGAAAAAAAAAAAAAAACAAGTATGGTCTTACTGATGGCATTAAGGTCCTAAAAGTTCTAGTGTTGAAATGCTCTTTCTCTCCTTCTTTGTACTGGATATTCAGTCACATTTTCTTTCTTGGAGAAGGGTTGCTTGGTAAGAAACTCTTGACAACAAGATCCAATTTAGCAGATTATACATGTATGTTAAATCAGAGGTTGATGAAAGATTATTAACATCAGATTACACTGTAAAAATTTTACAACCTTGTTTTCAATATAAGATGTGCAGTCTACCCCACGAACATCGCATCATGGGAACTCATTTAAGGATACCGTAAATCCTCTATTAAGCCCCCCAGTGGGTTTATTTTCCTGAAGCACTTTTGAGTGGGGCTTAATAGAGAGGGGTGGGGGGGGGGGGGGTTTATTCCATTAAGGGGAATGAACAAAGGGGGGGAAGGTTTTTGGGGAGGGGACAAAATAANTGTGATTGGCTGTGAAAACTATAGGGATGGTGACATAACAATGCCTCTATCCCTGAAAACAATAGGTCTTGCGAGTTAAAGGGACCAATGAAAGAAGAGGTTTGGATGCGTGCAGGTCAATCGATGTTCTACTCGCAGGTCAAGCTAGATTGCAAAAGGACAGATTAATGCTCACCTGAGGATATTTTTAGCTGCATGTATTTTATGCACATCTACTTGGGCTTGGAACTGAGACACCCTATGTGATAACATAAATTGGAAAATGTGTGGTTCCAGGCATATCCATAAAACCATGCTGAAAAAATAGGCCAAAGTTTTAAAAGAAGTCTTTAAAAAGGTAAGCGTGTTAAGAACTTATGTAGATCTTGGAGGGTGTTGTCCACCTCAACCTCCAGCCCGGGTGGATAACATCCTCCTTGATCTGCATAATTCTTCATATCTTACCATCCTCATTTTTAAATAATTACATGTATTGCTAATTACCTATGATTGATCAACAGTGAAACCAGATGCCAAGGTTGAGATTGACATTGGCAAAACTACGACTGAGGTGAACGAGAAGTCTACCTTACAGGTCTCCTGCATTGACCGGATTGATGGTGACTGGGACCTCCTTTTCTCAAAAGATGGGGAAAAAATAGAACTAAGTGATCCACGTGTCAATGTCACCATTTTTGAAAATCCACCAAAAGAAACTGAAAGGTTGTTTAACCTGACAATAAAGAATGTGACAATGAATGATACAGGAGAGTATGGATGCACCCTTTCTGTTTTGTTTCCAAAGCTCCTTGATGCCATCAATGTTACCGTGAAAGGTGAGCGAGCTAAGCGTGGAGATCATTAATTTACTTTATTATTCATTCAAAATATTTCCCGGATTCTTATTGGCTAAAAGCACACGTTTAATTCACCATAACCAGTTACTGATGACCAAATTTGGAAGAAATTTGACTTTAACGAGGAAATGACGTCAAAAATGCAGCGTTTTCGCAGGTTAAGGCACCGTTAACCGAGAAGACCTGGGGACGAGGTTGAGTTGTTTTGGTTGTGAACTTGAAAAAATGGCGGACATTTCACTCCTTTCAAGAGTAAGAACTAGGCGAAAAAATAGCTAAAAACATGGCGAGAACAGCAAGGAGACAACTCGAAGGGCGACATCTGCTATTTGGAGAATATTTGCGGAGCTGGACAAACCTAAATGTACACTATCGAAGATGAACTGAACATCGATGGATCGATAGAGGTAAACATGTTTCAGCTATTTTTTTAAACTAGGAATTATTTTGAATGAATAATAAAACAGTTATTGAATTCGGCTTTCGTATCATATGAAGAATTATGGAGATCTCGGAGGGCGTTATCCGCCTCGGCCTACGGCCTCGACGGATAACACCCTCCTCGATCTCCATAATTCTTCATAAGATACTCCGCCTCACTCATTAACTGTTAATTAACTAACATTTTTATTCGTAGGCCCTCTTATAGGTGCAAAAAATTTTGGTAACTTGTGTGAATTTTCCTGGAAGTCATATTAATAGATTTATGCAGGAAAAAGCTTTGTTATGGTCCCAATTACTTGATTTTTATCAAGCTCTACGATTTCTAATCTCATGGAAAACAATTTTTCGGTTTTGTGCCTAGAGTTCATCGAAAACTGTCTGTCACAATTTTTTGGTTCCGTGATAATTCATGGAAACCCACTCCTAGATGTGTTCACATTTTTTGAGTCATAAATTTTTTCCTGGAGGTGTCATTCATAAACCGTTAATGTGCAATGCCCTTTGAAAACAATTCAAGATGGCGGGCAATAAACAAATAATAATTGATACTTAATTATAATTACATAATTGATGCTGAACATTTAGTTTTTATAATATTTGGTATAAGCCAAGTCATAACCAAAGAATTGATCTACTACAGTGGAACCCCGTTGATATGGTCACCACGTGTATATTAATAGGTGACCCTATTAACAAGAGTTTTTTGACAAGAAAATGCAGGGTTGTCATTAAGAGCCGGGGGCCTTCGATTTTCCCCGGCTACTAAGAGAGTGGCCCCCGGCTACTTTTATTGGAAAATAGAACAAAAATAGAACCAAATGAAAACCCTAGCCATTTGATTCCCCGCCTACTTGTTGTATTTACCGGGCAACTTGAAATCTTAGTGACAACCCTGAAATGTATGGCCGTTATGCCAGGCGGCTAGGAAAAGTAGCCGTAATAACAAGGTGACCGTATTACTGAGGTTGACCATAAGGCGGCGTTGTACTGTAGATAAGAATCTGAGTGGAAAAATACATGTAGTGAATTTCTGTAATTTCTGTACCCAAACATGCGAATGTACACTCAAAGAAAACGTATGGTTTGTTTAATACAGAAGTACATAGTAGAAGATTGAACGTCAAACTGTATGCAGCTGTGTTTTGTTGTGTTAATCCGTAATTTCATGTGTTGATGGAGGGAACTTGCAGCTATAGTAGCTGCAGTGGTTTAAGATCAAGAATTTTTGTGGTAGTGGTGTTTCTGCATTTCCTAAGTTGTTGCATGTGCACATACATACATACAGCAAATGATGGCATTGTCAGTGGTAGCTCTAAATTTGAAGGCAGGTTTCTTTACCATAGCCATGTACATTTGTATTAGCGTTAATATTTCTCGATTTGTGAAGCCAGATGGTTTGAAGAAGGTTAATTGTCATTGATAATTATTACCAAATAATTTGTGCAAATATTGGAAAAAAAAACACGCACACACTGCAGAACTTACATCCTTCATCATCATTGACAGCTTTTGTAAGTTTTACAGCTGGTCCTGTTTTTATGGGCGTACTGGTATAATAGACCATAGGTTTTTGACCAATCAGATCGTGCATATCCACCTATCTCAGTTATCATATAACATAGTATATGAAAATTAAATTTGTCCATTAATAACCATCCATAGTTTCACACCAACCAGCTGTACAATAGAGAATTCTATGTCATGTTTTTTAAAG